TGAACGTAATTATAGTCAACTAGACAGAAAAGCATTTGCCATAATTTTTGGGGTCAACCATTTCTTTAATTATCTTTTTGGTCGACATTTTATACTCTTTACGGATAACGAACCGTTAACTCGAATTTTCCACCATAAAAAACATCTGCCAACTATAACATCTAGTCGTTTACTCAGATATGCAGCATTTTTATCCGGTTTTGACTATACAGTTAAATTCAAACGTGGCGAGGCAAATGTAAATGTTGACTGTCTATCCAGAGCACCAGTACAGCAAAATTCTAACTCAGTTGATATTCTACTAGGAGAAAAAGTTCATCAAGTTTGTGCGGAATCAATTTCAGTAATAACAACCGACCTGCTCACAGCTGATATGGTCGTCGCAGAAACTGACAAAGATGATGAACTAGGATCTGTCAAACGTAATCTTCTAACTCAAGCTACCGATTCACCATACACTCTGAACCATGGTATTCTATTCAAGAATGAACGAATTGTTATTCCCAAGAGCCTTCAAGAACAAATACTCCAGAAACTCCACTCAACACACATTGGGATTACCAAGATGAAACAACTTGCCCGACGTTATGTTTACTGGAAAAGAATTGATAAGGATATCGAAAACCTTGTTAAGTCATGCAAATCCTGTGCTCTTCTGCACTCAAATCCATCTAAAGCTCCACTGCATCCCTGGGATGAACCTACAAGTAATTGGGAGCGTATACACATTGATTATGCCACATATGCTAATAACAATTTTCTGGTATGTATTGATGCAAAATCAAAATGGCTTGAAATCAAAGCATTAAATTCAGCTCCTACAGCTATCAATACTATTCAACTGCTGGATAATATCTTTTTCAGTCACGGATATCCACAAGTGCTCGTCTCTGATAACGCAACAATATTTACAAGCTCAGAGTTCAAATTGTATTGCAAAGTTAATGGCATTTTCCAGAAATTTATTGCACCAGGACATGCTGCTACCAACGGTCTTGCCGAAAGAACAGTCCAGACTCTGAAGTTACGTCTGAAAGCCTTCGCTGATGATAATCGAGCAATACACGTCAAATTACAGGACATATATACTTTTTCGATATCGTTCAACACCATTAGTCTGTGGACAATCACCTGCAGAACTATACCTGAATCGCAAGCTATGCATCAAGTTGGATGCTCTACGTCCTTATAAGCCCTCCAGTAACTCCTTTAAGTCATCATGCACCCGAATATTTAAAGTGGGGAAGAGGATTCAATCGCGTGAATTACGCAACAATAAGTTTATATGGATCTTCGGCTCTGTCCTAAAGAAATTAGGAGCCTTACATTATCTTGTTCGATTGAATTCAGGGCTAACTTTAAAACGACACGTAGATCAGCTTCGTAGTACACAAGTCAAACAAGTCCGATTTAGTCCTGATACTAAACCAGCATCCAGACATCCATCAATTGAAAATGTTCCAAGATTGAACATCGCAATACAACCGGATCCACAGCCGGATCCACAACTGGAACTACAACCGGATCCGCTACCACAAGACCAAAGACACAACCCGGTCCTATTCGACGGTCAAATCGGCTGCGCCAACCACCCCAATATTTAAACGATTACATTCGTTTTTAAGTATTTCAGTTAAGTGGGGGAGACTGTAGTGGCGCGTCTAGGTTTTTCGTTGCTATTCGATGGTTGATAGAGAGAGGGATCGGCGAGTTGGCCATTGAATGTATAGCGTCTGAACATATCACAGTAATAGCGTGCATTTATTAGATTAAGAATATTGTATAAGCGATAATAAAGGTACAAGGTAACCAGTAATAATCCAGAGCCTACAATATACTCGCGCGACCATCCAATCACAACATATAAAGAAGTTATGTTTTAATAGAATAAGATTTTATTTTACTTCTTTTGTATGAGAATATTAATATTTTAGTTTGTTTTTGTTAATATAAGAGAAATTATTATTTTTCATTGAATAAACATTTTTTATTTTGATTATTTAAAACTGTTACTATCGATCCCCTCTATAGTGTTGCAACCGACCCGAAGTCGGGGGCGATTGTAACATTTTCCCTTGTTTATGTTTTTGATTAATGATTCTTATTTGGTTTATCACAAGATTTAAATAGAAGGATTTCCATAAAGTGAAATGATCACATTAACTTAGGGTATCAAGAGTTTTTCTTTTACTGTAATAGTTCTTCCACAATCAAGTTCTAAAGTTAAATTGTTACTTTTGACCTCGCTCTAGCCTACATAATTTAGGGAAGAATGCGACAGGAGTAAAAAAGCAGCGCCAAGTTTTTTTACAAGAAAAATTTATTTTATTTTGATTAAATATTTTTATTTTATACTGTTACCTTTTTTAATTTCTTGTGATTAAAATTATTATTTGTAATATTATAATTTTATTAAAAAGAATTAAAGCTACTACCACTTAGGTTGGAATAGTAGGACCCTTGAATGGGAACACAAAAATATGTATGTACCACTTGGGTTTTATTTTTTAAAAATAGTTGCACAACAATTATTTTTCAAAACAATATGTACATTCTTTTTGCAATTGGCGCACATTTAAAGATTTCACTTTTTTTTAATACATTGTCACTTGAATTGAGTTAGGTAACGTAATTTTGTGATATAATAATTTTGTTAAAGAGAAGTAAAGCTACTACCACTTCGGTTGGATTTACAACATTGCACGTGTACTTGGCGCCTTTTTTTACCTTTTTCGAAGAAGATAATTTTGTACTGTTTCCTTCACCTGAGGGATAATAACCTCAAAAATAATCTCAAGAAAAAAAGTGGTAACAGATAGTGGTAACATGTTTATATTGACCGCAGGGAGCTAATGCCGAGATTTTTAAGAAAGAAGGTGTATCCAAAATCGCACACATACGTATATGCTGTGTCTTAAATTGTAAAAGTTAAAGAGAACGAGAAAGTTATCTGTATCTATATGCACATATGACAGGCACTATCGCGTAATAAAGATTTTTCCGTTCCGAAGCTAGTATCTTAAAAAAAGTTTTAAAAAATGTTTTACAAACTCTCTACTATAAGGTGCTTCTGTTCAATTTTCACTGAGATTAATACTCAATAGGCGTAGTATAAGAACGTATTTGAGATATCCAAATCTTGAAATTTGCAGTCTTCCACCGTCAAACAAAAAAAATTGGCGAACATAAATTATTTATACCATCTCAAAGTACGGACTTTGCCTTTTCAAATTAAAAAAATACTTTGTCCTACGATTATTTAGCGAGATATCGCAATTTAAAGTAACTTCTGTTCTTTTATGATTTCAGCACCATACCGCTGACATTTACGTAACTTGCTCGGTCAGATTTTGCAAATCATGACTGTACTTGTATATGTGTATGTTTATGGAGTGTACATGTGTATGTGTACATGTAGAAATATTTTAGTAGTGTTTATACCGTATCACGCGTATCGCGCAATCTTGATATATGTATATTGATGCATTTTTTTACATCAGATTGAAAAGGCCACTGTGTCTTTAGAATAAAATTTATCAATCTGATGTAAAAAAATGCATCAATATAAAATGAAGATTGCGCGAGGTAATACGGCGAAGAGATGACAACACGTCTTACTAAAAAAAAAACTTAGCTCTATATGTACACACATACACATAATACACTCCATACACATACACATACATTCTTAATAAAATCTTTATAAAATACGAACGAGCAACCTCTCCGTGATGCATATCAGGTTACTCAAATGACGGCGGTACCGTGCTTATAAAAGAACAGGGGTTACTTTGAATTGCGATATTTCGCTAAATAATCGGCATAGGACAAAGTTTTTTTTTTTTTGAAAGAGCAAAGTCCGTACTTTGAAATGGTATCAATGATTATGTTCGCCAATTTTTTTGTTTGACGATGGCCAAAATTTTAAGATTTTAGATATCTCAAATACATTTTTATACAAAGCTGACTATGCCTTTGAGTATTTATCTGAGTAAAAATTGAACAAAAGCTTCTTATAGTAAAGAATTTGCCCTGTAAAACTTTTTTTTAACCCTTAAATGCTACACCTCTCAAGAATCTCGTAAATGACATGAGGGGTCTAAAAGACTCCAGCATGAAAAATGTCTCCTTACTCATTGATTTTTTTATCTTTAGTTATGAAAATTTTTTTCATAAAAATATACCTAGGTCGATACTGATTGTAAGTAAATAAACAAGGTATATAAATAAAATCGTACAATTTAGTATAATTAACTTTAGTATAGTTAACAGATAACTATAAATTTAATTTAAGACCAATACGTAAACCTAAAAATATACAAGCCGAATAAGAGATATTTATACTGTATAAAGGCTCAGTATATCAAATATTAGAATTAAACAGAAAATAAGAGCCAAGCGTGGTTACAATCGCTAAAATTTATTACATGTCAATACATTACGATTAAAGTGTCAATTACAAAATTACGTACGTTTCGACCCTTTTTTTGGGTCATCCTCAGCGCGTTGTCTACACATTACAAAATACTAAATCTAAATAGGGCCTTCCTTTTCCTTTTCCGTAAGCCTCTTCGACGAATCAATTCCTCCTAATAGTCCTTTGGGCAGATGCACACTCCGAAGCCTTCCCAGGTATCTTAGTGTGTGATTTCCTGGTTTGAGCGCCAGAAAATTCGTTTGCAAATAATCAGTCATGATTCGAAAAGATATCTATACAGATACTCAGAGTGACAACTACCCCAGGATTGTATGCATACAACACGTTATGCGATGCGTAACGCTTCTTACAGATAGTGCAGTTATTCGTCACATCGCAGTTATTCTCCTTGCACGACTATCCGTGACAGGAACGGACTGTGTCTCGTCAACGCTTGTATTGACATGTAACAAATTTTAGCGATTGTAACCACGCTTGGCTCTTATTGTCTGTTTAATTCTAATAAAAGATATTTACTTCGCTTGAAAATTAATATAAATTAAGAATTCTAATTGACTCGTCTGCACATAAATAAAAGAAGTGTTAAATCAAGACTTATATTTCGCTCATAAAAAAAAACTGTACAAGAAATTTTATTGTTGACGCTTTTCTGCGATGCTAATTAATTCTCTTATTGCGCTGACTTTATGAGCATCTCTGTCATCGTATATTTTAACAGTTTTATATGTATCAAAAGATTAATAATGTAATAGTAATAATATAATGTTAAAGCTAAATATAGCGCGCGCAAAGCGCGCGTCTGTGATGTTTAGTGTTGTATATATAAGTAAGAATCTATAATATTTTTATAAAAATTACAACTTTTTATCTCAACTTTTTTTCTTGATTAAACTATATAAGTATCTTCATTCAAACAAGTTTTCTTCGTTTAACGTAATTTATACCTCATTTCAAGATTACAGATTCTTGTATATATACAATAAATCTTGATTTAATTGCTTTTTTATCCCCTGGCTGAGGTAATATTTTTCGCAATAAAATTAAATTATTGAAACATTTAGAATATTAATTTAGAAAGACCAAAATCTTTGGTCTGAAATGTCTTGACGATAATCCGACCAAAATCAATGGTCGCATTGTCATGATGATGATAACCAGACAAATCGATTAGAATTCTTAATTGCTAAAAATATACGTGCGATTAATATGTACATCGCACGTATTTTCAAACACTAAAATTCTTTCATTCATTTAAAGCTATCGAGGATATTATATAACAATATCGAAACCGGTATTAAAAGGCCTTTCACAGTGAGTCCATAATGAAAATCGTTTAACAGTTGATATTGGTGTCAAGAAGTCTATTGTGTGCATAGTAAATCTTATCAAAGAAAACTATTTAAAATGCAAAAAGGATAAAAGAGAAAACTCAATTTTATCAGACATGCGCTCTTTGGACCTATAGTATTGGCTTTAAACTATTTATAATTTTTATAGTTCGAATTTTTATATATTTTAATTTATAAATAAATTTCAGAGTTCAAGCTGAAATTTGATATAAATATATGTAGATATAATCTACTTTATTTTCACACCTCAACGCACAATTAAAAAAATTATTCCTGCATTTTGAATTTTTAGTTATCAATTCATATTTAATAAATTATCATTTTTGTTTCATCAAACATTTCCTCCTCTGTAAGAAACGTAAATTATTTGCAGTATTGTTTCCCGTTTTTATTTAAACAGATAACAAATGTACTCGTATGCAAATTTTCAGTTATCAATTTATATTTAATAAATTATCGTTTTTGTTTCATCAAGCATTTCTTCCTCTGGAAGAAACGTAAATTATCTGCGGTATTATTTTTTGTTTTTATTCAAACGGATAACAATAAAAATGCTAAAATAAAAATGCTTGCATTTGTATAGCTAAATTCATATACGAACATGAATTTTAATTACTGATATGAAATTTATAACACACAACATTGAATATTAAAAACCCGTTTAAGATTTTTTGGAATACGGAAGGTAATAATACATATTTTCGATTGCAAATGAGAACATTTGTATATGAATTTATTTGTTGCAAACGAAGCATTGAAAATACAATACGACTTTCAATTTTAATTGCGGCGAGCTGATAAATACAATGCACTTGAA